TTCTGATTAATTAAGCTTGTCGTCAAATTCCCGAACAGATTTACGATTTTCGCTCGTTCCGAAGTTTACAATTACTTCAATTTTGTGAAGCAATAGAAACTCTTAGTAATTCCTACATGATATATATCGTCTCCTTGCGAATACTGATCATACGCAACAAAAGCTGTGAAGTTTTATTTTAAATTTAGAGTGCCATAATGAGCATGTGGAATATTTGGGCTTTCCAAAATTTTCACTAAAAAAGATAATCACTGAGGTTCCAAACTTACCAATTTGACAAACAATTGAACTTGGGCCAAACTGATATGCAGTAATAACTAAGAGCAGAAATTTCCAGGCAGACTAAGTATCAGATATTCCAAAAATTCACATACCACAGTAATTACACCTTTGAAAAAACGTTATTTCTGCACGTTCACAAGATAAGTAAAACTCACCAATGCAAAACGATTCTGGGCAAAATAGCCAGTATAGCAAAGCTAAAAAATTATAATCAAGCAGAATTGGACTCACCAGATATTGATTTATAAAAGGAATCAGATGAAGTAAAGGTAATTCTGAAAGAAGTAATAGGGTGTCATTCAATGTAACTAAGCGTTTCAGAGATGAAGTTGGAATCTGCTAACCTTTTTTGCATAAACCAAAAGGATAAAAACTAGGAATAGAGAAGCAATAAGGACAGATTGAAAAAATGCCCATTAGTTTAAGAATTCCAGACAAGTGAGAAATAAAAGTTATTAATAAAGCTGAGTTCTTTCAATGAGAAACGAATTAATTTTATGAAGACGGTTAAAGGATAGTCAACAGATTGCGCATTTTTCCAATGGATGATACAGGACCGACTTCTGATGAATAAGGTTAGATAATCTTACCTAAATGGGGCTTCATAAAAGTCCTGAAACTGATACTTCAAGAGATTAAATGGTATCGCAGCTGAGAGAATGAACAGAGGTTGAAAGGTTAAATCCAATTACTGCTTAGACCCACACTTGCGTGTGAGGTACGGAAGCACAATCCAACTAATAATAGCATCAATGAGGGGTGTGCGATAGACTTACCTCCACGTGGTGCACCCTGGGCAACGTATACTCATACGGCAAAAAAGTCTATTAACCGGCAGCTGACTTCTGACTTCAAATTACCACGGCCCGACTGCTTGTCATATTCGACCGCTTTCACAGTACTCATCTTACCTTTACTCTACCTTTGTGTCTGTTTGACTCTTTTACATCTGTGAATCGCTCTTCTGTTCCCCACCCCTCGACTTTCTTCTACTTTGATTAACCTTCCCTCTATGAAGCCCGAAGTCAGCTAAATGGCTAATGATAGCTATCAAAACGCCTCCATTTGAAATAAAAAAGTAAATAAAATAACATCAATGAACGCCTAAACTTCCTCAATGCCCTGTGCATTTATTATACTATCAAAACCCCCATAGTCGGTCTGCATTATAAAATAGCTACCTCATTACTTTAGGTACTGAAAATGCCTGACTTGTAAACTCTTGAAGTCGATTAAGCATAAAATGTGTTTGATCATCCAAGTTGTTGACCAGAATCAATAAATATTCCTGAAAATCCATTAAACTTCCAATGGAGAGCTCTGATTTGGCAAACGTTTCAAACACTTGTCCTTGTCTAGATATATATGGTGTCAGCGCTCCAAAGTTGATTGCTCTTGTGTAGATCCTTCTTTACCGACAAACTTTCAAAGGAATACATAAGGTTAAATCGTCCGATTTGCAGGAACATTCAGTCAGAATTTGGTAATTCGAATAGCTTAAACATAAAAAAAACTATTAGAAACGCCTACAAAGAGGAAGTTGATGTAATTATTGAATAAAATACTTGAAACCGAGTTATTTTCTTCTGATGCATTTCATTCCCAATACATGAATGTAATGGAACAAGATTTAATTGTTCATTTGTGAAAAGGTTGTGAATTCAAAAATAACTTGACAAAGAGGAAGCCTCCTCCTTAAGCGGAAGTTTTCGATGAACTGAGACGAAGCCTATAAAATTGAGAGCAAAATTCACCAATTCTCCCTACCTAGTTAAAGCAGTAAAAGTCTCAGTCCTGTTATAGGGTCTAAAATAACTTCAACTTATTTAAATTATTTAGAAATAGAATAACTTTTTTCCTAAGATTGAATACATTAATTTAAGCAATATTTAGGATAGGGAAAATTAGTTCTTGAATGACCTAATCCAGAGATATCATCTTAATGGGAATATAATTGCCCATAATTAATGTTCTTGCTGAAAGCGCAGAAGAAATTAATGCTGTTAAAATAAGCAGAGGAAAATTATAATTCTCGAGATGGTGGAGGAGTTGATGTAGAAATCACTGGAAAATCTCCATTTTGAAGGGGAGGAATTTTAAGGCAATCGATTCCTGTTATGTGAACATATCTTAGGAGGGTTGGGGAAAATATTTATCTATTTCAAATGGCAGGCGTTTTGATAGTTATCATTAGCCCTTTATCTGACTTCGGGCTTCACAGAGAGGAGTAGGAACATCAAAGTGAGAAGAATTCGGGAGGGGGAAAGAAGAGTGATTCACAGATGTAAAGAGACAGATGGACACAAAGAAGGGGAATGGTAAGATGGGTGCTGTTGAAGTGGTCGAATTTGACATATAGTGGTGTCATGGTATTTTGAAGTCAGAAATTAACTGCCGAATAATATATTTTTTTGCGTATGAGTATATGTTGCCCAGGGAGGTAAGTCTATCCCACACCCCATATTTAAATATTGTCTGACAGAAAATAAGCATTAAGAACTATGACGGAGAGATATAATTCCTTAATTAAGAAAATATGAGAGCCACACATTAACTTGGCGAATTTTCAATTAATAATGAGAATATAAAACGTATATAACCGAACTGGCCAGGTTATATTAGTTTCATCGTTACATTAATTAATGAATTATGAACAGTGTTAGCAATAATGGAATACTGCGGTCAGCTCACTCCTCTACAAATGCCAAGACGGTGTGACCGAATCTTCTTGCTGCACATCTAAATATGTGGATAACTAACTGTAATGTTTAATTATTGTCAGTATGAGAAGTAGTTAAAGTAGAGGTTCTTGTGAGTATGACCCTATGGCATATTCCTTATGTAAGGGCATGATCTGCCTAAACTTTCTCTAAAGAATCTTCTAACGTGAAGTTTGAGGTAATTTATGCAATATTCTAAAATTCATACGCATGAAAATTGCTTATTATCCTGTGCCAACTAACGCATCTTAACGTGAAAATTGAATATACGTCTTCGCCCATTCTTGCAAGGCTTACATTTCCAGACAAAATTTCTTCTATTAAGAACTGGTTGATTTCAAAAATTTACTTTAATTTAATTAATCGATAGTTATAATTGGCCTTTAATTGATGATAAGATCCCTTTCCAAAGTGCTATTCGCTTAGAATACAGAATGAAAACCATTTTAATCTACAATTAATCGAGATGATAGGGTTCGAACTTAAAATGTGCGGAAAATATTAATTGTGGTAAATTTCATAAAAATCCTTTTACAAACACTTGAATTTAAATTCTCCCTAGTTAATGCTTTAGAACGTGGTCTCACTGACATCTGTTACAATGCAATGGGACTATTATCCACTGCAGCACTATCATGTGGTGAACTGGCCTGTTTAGAAAGCAAAAGCTCCAGGGTGCATGATTTTATAGAAACACTGTTGAAATTTAGTACAAATGTGAATTAAGAATGCAGGCTGCGTAAAACAATTGATAACTTACCTCTTTATTATAGCTATCAGAACCATCATCTATTTACTTAATAGATTGGCACTATCGCTGATACCTGGATGATGGAATTAACTTTCTGCTTTACTAGGTTGCAATTCAAAACTATTTAAAACATTTCAATTAAGTTAATTCCGCATAGAGTTAGCATTAAAGTAAAAGCAGGTGCGCACAAAATTCGATTATTGATTTTCCATTGCCGCGATAATGATGACTAATCAAACCAGTTAATAAAACTCAAAATTACAGCAATTACTGACAGTTAATGTGATGTGACATATTCGTGAAAATAAACCTGACCGGGATAAAAGTCAGTGCTTTTCGTAAATATGGACAAATTAAGGTTATATTAATCTCATCTCCTACGCAAAATATGAACATAATTTCTAAGAACTTAAATTGTAGAGAAATTACGATAATTATTCCAATTGAAGGAAAGGTTGTTTTATTAAACATAAGGGAATTTAGGATTGGAAAATAAGCACTTTAAATACTTTCTGATAAATTCGAGCAAAGATTGGGATGCGGGGGTGGTAGGGACAAAAGACAGATCCTTGCATTAATACGAAAGGCCCCCCACTTACCTGAATCTAAGTCCATTCAGTCCATGTGAGGTTTCCATTTTCCGAATAAAATTAGAAGCAGTAGTAACTATCGGTTAAAATTTGGCGCTTACATATTTCAAGCAAAGTATTAATAATAAAGCAAACATATCAGGCTTAATACTTTTAATTTGTCAGTTCTGAAATTAGAATTGGGCAGTTAAGAAGTGAAATGACGATGGCAATTCCCAACCACCGGTAAAGAATCGGACCATATGTTTAATTAAGTATAAACCCCCATGAGACTGATAAGTGAAATGACAGCAAAAAGTTGCTGGTTGTGATATAACGAAAATGCTGGATACCGCAGAAAATTAACTATTGGTGAAAGCTATGCTGTATGCTCACATAATGCTAATATTTTAGGAGAGAGGAACAGTTGAAAAACACGCTGATTCTAATCATCATCCTTAACTCGGCTCTTATTGGTCTATGCAAATTTATTTTACCAATGATTGGGTTAATAATAGTCCAATGAAAATCGGCGGCTTCATTGGGATGGCGCGAACTACCCAATCAACAGCCAGTCAAGATTAACAGACACGATATGAAAGCGCTAACAGTTGCCAACGCGCATTTTTCCACGCGCTATTTTGCTGAAGGGGTCGTATCGGTTTCTGCTCTCCTGAAATGACCAAAAAATTTGCTCATTATAAGAACGGACTTTTCGACTCTCGTGTCGAGCACGATGCTTGTGGTGTGGGTTTTGTTGCCAATATGCATGGTGAAAGATCCACTATGGTAAGCTTGATCTGCTATTTAAAGTCACTTGATTTATTCCCTCGTTCAATATGTATCTTAATTTAATATGAATTTAAGTTAACTTTGTTTATTTTGAGTTTCCTCAATAATAACCTTTAATGGGAGATTAGTTCTCTATAATCTGCTCTTTCTTCCTTTCTGACAAAAAATTGCACGCTGCAGACACCCTGGCTAGGGAATCTCTTCTGCTTAGTCATAGACCCTCCCCATATTGGGACATGCGTAAATTAACAATTTAGTAATTGATTCACTCCCATTCTTCGGCCTTATGGCTTTCGCTATCTGTAAGGGAGCAATTTTGATTTATCCTTAATTGCTTTTTTAATTTGACTTCTGACTTCAAACTGCCATGACCCCACTGTAT